ACGTATAGTTAGTGTCGAGATTTCTCGCGGGAATTTTTATTGTCGCGTGTGGCAGTGAAACGTACGTACGTATGGTCGAAGTAGAATGCCAGAAGAGGAATGGGTTGCTTAACGCGTGAAATGCTAGTTATTATTTCTTTCGAGCACTGTTATAATGATTCAGTGTGCGAGTTCCTTTTAGGTCTTTAGGTCCTTTCGGTGCTTATAACTGGGTAACCAAAATTTCTGAAAGTTCAGTACGAGCAGCTTAATCGATATGTTTATTTAATATACTCAGTTATTTATCTTATATTTTACTATAACAATGCTTCATCATAAATAAAATTCCCTTCGCATTTCCGCAGAAAATTAAATAATCTAAATTTCAATGAAACTATTGAATCAAATAATCCGAATTTCGAAGGATCAATTTCAAATTAAATATTCTTATACGACGAAACTTCAGAACTTGTCCAAGAACGGACAGTTCGTATACAATAGCGGATAGAAGAAAGTTTAAAAGGCAAATAGCACGAGATAATCTTACAAAATGAAATATTACGTTTAAAATAAACGTAATACATATGTATCTCAGAATGAATTACTTATGTTTATAAAAACGTCTAGCATATATACACGCACCATGTCAAATATAAATTTTAAACTTTCTACCATGCGTCACTCCGTAATTAGAGTTCATGTACATATGCAGAACTTCACTGATTTTTCCCCTTTGTCGCTAATTATTCACCTAATATAATACTTCGAACAAATCAGCATGAGTTCATTCAATACCGGCTGACATTTGGCTCAAATAAATAGAGTTCATATCAACAGAGTTCCACTGTAATATAAATAATAAATAATGTAATAAACTTAATGTAACATAATATATATTAAATAATATAATAAACTTAATATAACATAATATATATTAAATAATGTAATAAACTTAATATAACATAATATATATTAAATAATGTAATAAACTTAATATAACATAATATATATTAAATAATATAATAAACATAATATATATTAAATAATATAATAAACTCAAATATTTTCTCCGCATAGTAATACGTTCATACGGCAGACTCTATCGCCGTACCTTTCTCACCGAATTGCCCACGGTTTTTTCGCACGTCGTGCGTATTACATCATTCAAGTGATACCAATCGAGGCTCTCTTCCGCGCGTCCTTCCCCGTTTTCGTTCGCTCGAGGAATCGGCGAAGATTCACCCAGTTCCCGGAGGTGATCGGCCAAGGTAGTCACGAACACGCTTTAGCATACGCGCGGCGGCGTAAGGTTATTCAACCCGAGCGGATCTCGTTCGTAGGCAACGCGGAGTAACGGGTTCCCGATGACTCTCGTGCATGAGGCGCCTCTCCACCTTGCCGGATTACCCGGTGGCCAGGCTGCGTGCACCAGGGGCCCTCCACTTCTTCAACCTTCGAGCCGTGGATTCAGTCAGCCGTGCACCATTGTCGAAACATCGTCCCGCGATCCTGGACGACACTCGCGGTTCCTCCTAGGCGGTTGTCACTTGCCAACGATCCTGAGTTTTCTGCCCCTCGGTTTCTTTTCGTTTTTTCTTTTTTTTACAGCGCAGCACAGTCGAGTTTCGCAAAGTGTGCAGCTTTGTAATTTGTTTTCGAATTTAACTGGAGTAGCTTGTCACTTGGTAGTGTCTCGCGTTCGAGATTTGAGATTTGGCCCCCCCCCCGCCCCCGTCAGTGTGCTTCTTTCTATTTAATTATTTCGCGTGTTTGGCGATTAAATGCGGTTTCGAGGAGAATTTTGAGATCCAGGTAAGAAAATAATTTCTTGGTGAGAGTTCTTGGTGGGCGAGAGTCGCGGAGAGTTTGAGATTTTGAGAATTGGCTTCTTGTCGTTAAATTGCGGCTTCGAAGAGAGTTTTGAGATCAAAAGAGGTTCGAGGGTTTTTCAATTTGTATGGTGTGCGAAAATTGCAAAGTGTACGAGATTTTAAAGTAGACTAATTTTCATTCAAAGTATGAGAGTTAAGTTAAGTTTAGTGAGTAGTTTGGAATGGCAATGAATTTTTTTGTCACGAATTTTCTTTTTATTTAATCGTTACAAGAATTTTGAAATTCAGATACTAATTGTTTCCTTTGAGAATTTACTAGTTGATACTTTAAACTTGGACAGGTTTCTGACGGTTCGTAGACGGTAGAGCAAGTTTGACGTCTGAATTCAAAGAAAATTATATAGTAGTGAAACTTTTTATAGAATAGGAATATGCAATGTTCATATAATTAACATTATAAAGTACTAATTTCTCTGAAGAAAGTCTGAAACATTATATTAAAAGAAATAAGAAGAAGAAACTTTCCATGATGATATGACTAAAATGAAAGAAAAATACAGGAAAAGTAATGAATTGTTTCTCACTTAATAAATGTTTCTCAATTTTTATCTCAAAACAATCATCTACATATTATCCAATTTTTCAGAAATTAAAAATTCTTTCATATACGATTATGCTTTCATATCCAATATTATACTTTAATAAATTGATTAAGTAAGCAATAAACAAATCTACTTTTGAATTATTAAATTTCTCGAAACTTAAATTTCCGGACTTCAATTTGAATATTAATCTAACATGTAATCTGAATTACACGATTAATTAAGACTGCAGATATTTATACATTTATGCATAAATTTGAAGTTATAAAAATCTTGTTCTTATTAATATATTAATATATAATAATAATATATTAATAATATATTAATATATTAATTATTAATCAAAATTAAGATATTAATATATAATAATATATTATATTAAATATTATTATTAACATTAATAATATTATTAATTATAATGTTAATAATAATATTATTATATTAATAAGAACAATATTTTTATATTAATATTATTAATAATATTATTAATATAATTTTAATTACATAATTATATAAATGTAATCACGTATCGTTAATATAATTTAGAATTGTAAAATATCAACAAATAATCAAATAATCAAATCAGTCCCTCCAAATTAGTATTAATTATTAACTCAAAACCGATTCTCTTCATCTTTGGTGCATCTTAACCAGTAACAGTTAACGAGCAAAAGATTCGCTGCGAATCTTATCGAAAACGAGCTGGAAAAATATCCAGAAACTCGCCGATTTGAAACCCGTCCACTGGACAGAACGCGAGATTATGGCTGTGAAAATGGTCCATTCAGAGCAAGTACCGTGACGATGGATCGTCGAAACGACATTCGCGATCCGCGACGCACGTATCAAAAGTATTTCGACGTAACGGTACACGTGTACGCTCGCTGTAATCCAGCTACGATATCCTACGACGATTTAACAGCAGTTTCTGACACGCTGACCAACCTACGCCGAAGGATGCACCTCGTGCATGCTGGTACATGCAAATGGGGATGAGGGAGGGGACTAAGAAGACCGATAGTCCCGGTACCGTTACCGGACGCGAGCATCAACGAAAAGGATGCAACGGTACAAAACGAAAGGAAACAGAAAAAAGAAAGAAAGAAAGAAAAAAAAAAAGGAACACGATACTTTTACGACGTTCACGGAGAAAACCGAGGGAGCTTGGAACGCGGATCCCTCCTGATTGAAAGGAGAATGCGATTGTGTTGGTCAGACGCTCGGCGCTTCGGTTTAATTGAGTTTGGTGCGGTTTTGTAGTATTTGCTGGGAGTTCAACGAGAACTTCAATGTTTTTAGAGTAGAATAGAATTACAACTTTTATTAGGTAAATTAGTATTTACTTTACTGGTTCGCTTGGAATGATTGGTTATTTAGTTCATTTCTATTTTCTTTGACATTTTTTCAACATTCGTCAACCAGGATTTTTCGAGAAGAGATTTTTCAGTTGCTTGAGTGTTTGAGAGTTTGCGTTTCGAATTTGTCAGGATGATGTTAGTTATTTTAGGAATTTGAATTTTCGAGATGCTCAGGAATTTCGTTGGGATGGGATTTGAATTTTTGAATTTCTTCTTTTTCTCTCTCTCTCTCGATATGTTTGGCAAGATAGAATTATGAAATTGAAATTCTTAGAACTTACTTGTAATGAGAAGAAGAAGAAGAAGAAGAAGAAAGACTGTCGCTCCACGTTTCGTCGCAAGGTTTCAATTTGCATAAAACAAAGGGAGAATTCAATGGTGTCTTCCTCGATGTCTGCACGGCAGATCGGCCGCAAAGCTTCTCATTTTCATGCGGCCGGCATCGCGTAGCGAACGATCGGAGCATGAGAATCGAATACAAACGATCACCTCGATCGAGACCTTCGTACGAAAATCGTCGATCAAACATTCCTAACGTGTTGCACGCGAAAACGATCGAACCACCCGTTTCGATTGTCATTGCGTCATTCCTCCAGTGATTTACCACACTGTATATTCATATTCGATCGCGTTTTATTAAACGATCGTTTCGTCAAATGATTCATCTTACGAGTTTGGCTCTCCTCCGAGAAGGTCGAGGTTAATTTCTCGATGAAGACAATGGACGCGCTTCCTGGTAAAATTATTCAAATTATTCTGTTCGTCGTGAACTCTGAATGGTGATGGCAGTTTGGAATATTGGGTCGAGGAGAAACCGTGGTCCTTAACTTTTCTTTTTATTTGTCGTTTGCTTTTTAATTCTTCGTTTCGTGGAATTTCGTTTTTAATTAATCATTTATCAAATGCTCGGGATATCTCTGAAAATTTAACAAAAGGATCGATAATTTTTCAAATCGTTATTTTTTCTTTTTTTGTTCTTTCAATGCAAAAAAAATTCTAATTCACAAGTTTAAATTTATGAAATTTATAAAATTATAAAATTCAGTATGTTATTTACTGAAAGCAATATGTATAATTTCAATATCTATAACTTTCTTGTTTTAAAACAGTGTGTATAATTTATATTATTACACAAGATAAATTACACAGAAGTTTATAAAATTCATTATCGAAACAGACAAGAAACTGCACGCGGTTAGATGAAACCATTATTTCTCTTTTTGTTTCAGTGCAAAAATGCGGATGAAGCTATTAAAGGTCGTGGTTGTTCTGTTGCTGTCAGGATCGGGCGACGCCAGGCCGCAAAGAACCGGTAAGAGAATCACCTCTTACTATAATATTTCTCAGGAACATCGTTACGATTATCGATTATAAAAGTCGGATTCGTTCGCGGAGGAAACATGAAACACTATCGCGCGAAAAAGTCGAAAGGAAAGGGCGTAACTTTCCCGTGGAAGTCAGACGTTTCAATCGTCGATTAATTATAGCTAGTTTGCGTGAAACTTTCGATTTAACTAAGGGTGAAGTTTCAAGTCTCTAATCAAGGCGCTACTTCATTATCAAGGATTATCGGCCTTCGTGCCTGGCAAATTGTTGGAATTATTATTATAGTACATTGACTTGTTTCGTCTAGATTTGTTTTCTTGTACAGACTTCCTCTCGAAGCTTCCTTATTATTAGAAAAACGTGAATTTCCTGCGATTATTTTCTGCACTCAGTGAATTAGATTTTTATAGTTTTACAATTTTTATAACTAAAGAAACAAAATCCGAATAAAAATTTATTTTATCTGCTACATATTATGATAAACACTCTGCTTATTATTTGCACTTAATTATACCTTGTTCTATTTATATATATATATATGTACAAATATAGAAGTTCTTTATCAAGAAATAGTTCTTTATCAAGAAATTTCACAAATTTACAGAACAATAAAATAAAAAGATTGTAATATAATAAGAAAGTAGAATAATAAAGTTAAAATAGAAAGAGCTTAAAATTCACTGTGTTCTTAGGGTTTAATCCGATAAAGGTCAAGCAATATTTTATCATTAATGTTTAAAATATCCTAAAATTGCATTTTCTGCATGTAAAAATTTTATTTATATTACTCGACTGTTTCTTTCTACGAATGAAAAATACTAAAGTCTTATTTTTTTATAAAAATTCTTTTACCAAAGCCCACTGTTCCTAGTCAATCGGTATTTCATGATGTCAATCATATCAACGATGTTCCGTGTCCGAGGAAAGCACGTCGCGTGGTACGTGATTACGCGAACCAGTCTGCACGCAGATTGCACGTTCACCAGGAAACATAATTCGTGAAGTCGCAACTAAAATTTTCTGACCGATTGATTCCTCCTCGGGTTGTTACAAAATTTCATTTCGCAACACAAACGTTTTCCTTTCTTCTTTTTCATTCGTCTAACTGGATTTATATTTCGCTCGCTAATTATCTCTGTTGTAATCTTCCTGTCAAGAAGCCACTGTTCACATAAGAATATATCACAATTCGTATTACGAAACGATAAACGGTAGTTAGAATTTAGAATAAACGTCGATTCTATTTACAGCACGAAAATCCTGAGAAAGTTGAAAGACACAAATAAATCTAAATCAATATTAATTTTTAATTTGATTCAATTACTTGATTTTATTACTAATCTCAATATTAAGAATGTAACATTCAGAGTAGAATGAACAACTCAATTGAAATCAACATTAATTTTTAATTTGATTCAATTGCTTGATTTTATTAACTAATCTCTATATTAAGAATGTAACATTCAGAGTAGAATGAAATATCCAAATTTAAAATAAATTGTTACAATCATTCATAACTTTACCTTTACGCACTGCATACTTGAGGCGAATGAACAATTTATTTGAATGATTAATTTTAAATTAATATTACAATTTTAATTACATACATTTCTCATTTGATTGTTACCTAAATATTGTATTTCCAGTTTCTTGTATTGTGAAATAATATCGAATCATTCCGTTTATTTCAGGAATTTTCATCAATTTTTAATTAATTTTCAGAAGGATCGATCGACGTTCAGCCATCGAGAGCAAACCCGGAGCAACTGAGAAGTTCCGGCGGCCCTCAGACCGTTCGTGAAGATAGCAGGTACACGTGGAATTCCGGAAGTAGTACTATTCCCTACATTAGCTATTACCGCGATAATATCGATCCCGTTGTCGAGTCGAACGTCGAGGTAAGTGTTGACAAATCGAACTCTCATCGTCCTAACTCGAACAATTTCTGGAATTCCTTGAAATCTCGATCGAGAAATCCAAGGAGAGCAGTAATCGATAAACAGTCGATTGCGAGTATGTTTCACGAACGATCACCAACAAACGACAGGCGAGACAGAAACGTATTTCGTCGTCAATCGATAGTTGGAAATAATCACGGTGCCCAAAATTCAACGAACCCTTTCTCAAAATTGTCGAATCAGAGGTTCAATGCAGGTTACAGGCGCGTTCAATCGAGAATTTCGAATCCAAAGAGGCCCGTCAGATCGAATTTCATTAGAAATCTCGCGCGCGACAATTCATCGTCGAGAAGGACGAACGATACCCTAATGAATAATTCACAATCTGGTAGCACGACCTTGAGCCAGAATTCGGAGTTCTCGAATCAGGGGGAAGTGTTCTCGCTTGCTTCGGGCAAAAATGTCGAGTCCACGACTCCGTTCGATCACGTCGCGGCCATCAAAAAGATCACCGGCATGTTCATCGCTCGCGATCGGACTACCTCCGAGTTGCCTCTAGAAAGCAAAAAAAACAGCGTGAACGTTGGCATTCCGTTGGCCCTCCCTCTGCCGATTCGTCATTCGAGCACCAAACACTCGAACAGAACGAAAACTCGTCGACCGCAAGGTCACCACGCGAGCTCGAAGAGAAAGAACCAGAATAAGATTCATTCGAACAAAATTCAGTCGAGCAAGAACAATTCGAATCCAAACATGAGTTTGAAGAACTGGCCCAACAGCGCCGTTCAAAACGCCGAGGATCTTCATAATTACGATCAGTACACCAGCATGAACGATGACCTGAAACAGGAAGAGACGCCGTTTCCATTGAGAAATTCCACTACTTTCAATTACCACGTGCCTGTCTCGAGTCCCAATTTCCAAGAGATAGTCCACTGGCTGAAGATCCCGGCTTTCATGACCAATGGTAGCCACATAATAGAGAGCGATCAACTCAACGGTCCGGTCACTATCGCTTTCGACCCAGTTTACCAAAATTTCGAGCCGAACAAACCTTCCAAGCCGAGTGTCCTCCAGGAGTTGAAGCCTGGCTTCATTTATCCTCTTCGTCCTCCGAGTCACGCCACGGAGAAGATTCCAAATTGGCCGCCAGCCGGCCAGAAGCCTCTCGTTCATAACCCGCAGACCCAAGTTTCTCAGAATACGGTTGTTCATTTGATAAATACGGACTCGAGGAAGCCAAATAGAACGGTGGTTGGGACGAAAGTGCCTGCAGGATTTGCTCGACCCGTCGTGTCTGGTCCTTACGTTTCTACTTCAGGTCCCGCGACCTCTTTGTCTTCTTCGGGGTCCGGTTTATATTCGCCTTCGTCCTCTTTGGCTCCTTCGGGCATTGGTTCACATTCTCCTCCGTACTCTTCAGCTCCTTCAGGCTCTGGTTCATATTCTCCTTCGTTGATCCTCTCGCAACTGTACCCTTCTACGTCGACCACCTCCAAGCCAGGTCCAAACGTGCACATAGGCTTCACTTCGTACACGGACGAGAATAAAGTGTCGGATGAGAAACCTCAGACCCCACTGGTCACCTACGATCAAAGTTGTCCTACGATTCTCATAAACTCTTACACGAGGATTAACAATACCATTCAAAGCAAAGAAGGTTGTACTGATCTGAACATCATCATCAATTCCCACGTGTTCAATACTAACGTCTTCGAGTCCACACCCTCTTCTCTAGAAGACGAGCCTAACACCGAGGACTATCAAGTTTATGGAGAATTGAACAAATACGGCAGTCAGATAGATCCAGGTTCCAACTATCAATCCGTTCCCATCTACCAGCCCACTTTTCCAAATTCCCAGTGGCCTCAGAACTTTTACGATTCTCAGAAAGACCCGCAGAATCAGAATCTCCAACCAAACGACGTTTCCAACGTGGAAATAGTCCAAGGTACTCATATCAGTATCTCGAGTCCAGCTGAAGTCTCTCCTCCAGCCGAGTCTCCTCTAACTGGCGATTTGAACGATAATTCAGAGTCTTCGGCAGTGGTTGGCTCGGAGGTTGGCCAAGCGAACGATTCTCCAGGTGGGAGTTCTCTGGTTCGGCCAGCTGTCGCGCCAGCTGCTTCGAATCCCGCTTCTTCGGGATCCACTAACGTTTCCCCGGCAGGTTTAGGCGCGGGATCGACCACTCCGACTCGTCCAACTCAGAACGATGACGACGACGACTTTGATTTGTCTCCGAGTGGTATCATGGATTCCATAGCTTCGGTGTTCACTTACTTCACATTTGTCAATCCCCTACATTATGGGTTCTTCAGCTTGGCAGCTGCTCCTTTCACAGCTCTCGCAGCTGGAGTACTTGGTATCGTCACGTTTATATATCCTTGGCTGTTCCCCAGTTCGTTCGGCTTCAGCAGGGCTAATGGCAATAACGGGGATAGTTTTTGGTATAATCTTGACGAGGTTGTGAAACAGTCTTTGGAGAAGTATGGAAGGGTGAACGAGTGGAAGAGTAAGAGAAAGAAGAGGAAGAGATGAAAAGGGTTGGAGAGTTTTAGAATTAGGATCTTTTCCATGTAGTTTCTCGTGATGAGGTGGATTGGATTCTATCGACAGCTCTCTGGTAAAAAGTAAAGGAGTACAAGTCAAAATTGTTGGTTTTCGCAGAGAAGCACACAAATAGGGACAGACGCACTAACGTGAATAGTTATTAGTACAATATTACAATTATTATATAAGTATAATTGTATTATTATAATATCAGTACAATAATGCAGAAAGTACAATAATGCAAAAAAGTACAATATAAGATCAGGTAATAAATTTTAGATTTTAGAAAATGAATAGACTGAAGATTTTTATGTACTTATGGGAAATTGGATGTTACAAAATTGTATGAAATATTCAAATTAGATAAAGTATGATATATACTATACATAATTTGATTTATATATAAAATTTAGGTTCCATCTTTTTCAACTATGGAAATTTTTAAATGCATAAAAATCTGTAGTCTATTAATAACATATGTCATTGTACTTTTAAAACACATATCCCTTCTTTTTTTAAATTACCATTTATATTATTTTGATCAAAATCTTGACTTATACTCTTTTGCCTGCCCATCAAAGAATTTTTTCTCGATGTGGAAGTTAGAGCTTGGGGATTTTTAAATGGTTTATGGGTTTTTGCGTTAACAAAGGGAGAGTTTGGGTAATTTAAGTACAAAATAGAAATAACACTGACAGTGTGGATGCTAGATTAGGCACGGCGTGCATACGATGTTTCAATAATGGTGTTTCACAAGTCATAAATTTAATAACTTCTACACGTCAGTTTTACAAATTACAAGCCATCCAGTTGTCATACTTGACTTAAAATAAGGAAATTGTACAATAGAAATCTGTAACTACATACCTTTCCGATTGTCGATCCAGTTATTATAGTTATTAGTAGACAGTTTTATGCATTCGTGAAAGAAAAGTGCACAGAATGCGCGTAAAATATTTAAGATTAGAATAGTTACGAGATTCCATTTCTAGTTTCCGTTTTAGTAGTGTAGGAATTTTTAGAAGCTTTAATATTTAATGATTTTTCGAAACTTACTTTTAATTATTTATTTTATTTATTCTATTTATGCATTGTTTGATGGTAAAGGGATACAGAATAGTATTTTGAATAGAAAATTAACCTCGCCAATAGTAGCTTTAAAATTACATTGAATAAGTGACTATGAAGAGTACGAAGAGTATTTTTTTAGCAATAGATACATATACACACACGCAAAACAGTATTACAGATGTACTTATATACTATACTCTTGAATTACTTCGAATTATTTTCTTTCTTTTTAGAGTACTTATAGGGCATTGCTAGTACTTGTGCCAGTGAACTGTAATTGAAATAAATGATTGGAACGAACAAATTTGCATTTCTTTTTTTTTTAATATGACCAACATTCTTTCAGCTTTTTATTTGTGACGTAGTCGTTTTCCTAAGTCAAAGTAACCTTATTAAATTTCCATCCTATATTCCAGTAATCATTTGCTATCATAATTCTCTTCAAAAAATTGACTGAAAATTATGATATTACAAGGTTTTTGAATATTATTAAAGTTTATATACACGATATATTTATTGCTATTTGTTATTCAATGTTACTATTAGTAATAACTAAATTAATTATTTTCTCAAATATTTCACAGAGCCATAGAAAGGTAAGGAACAAGCATTCAATGATCACTCTGCTATTTAAATCATTATTCACTACAATTTAATAGTACTTTTTCAATTGCTATATTTTAACATTACATTATCAAAACAGAATGTCTTCCAGTAATGAAAAATAAATAAAAATGACTTTTCAGTTATTTAGTAGACATTCCATTCAGATAATATAACATCCTAATACGAAATTATTTAAATAAACAAAGATTCGGACAATTACTACTCTAATTTATCACAATTTTCAAATTGTCAAAAATCACACTCATATAATCATACAATTTTCTTTCAGTATCAATACAAACGACACGCAACGCCACCTGAAGGATTTGCAGCACATCGACCAGTCTCTAAGAACAGTGGCCACTCAGCTACTAAACGTGACCAATCCGGAAGAATCCACAAAAATCCTCGACAACGTAATCAAGAAGCCTGCCGCGAGTCAGAAACCATTGGAGGCCGCTCCAGTCAAAGAGATCAACGTGAACAATGGCCCGCTTGTCAACGTCGGATTCGGCAGGCCAATTAATTCCAAGTTCAACTACTTCGAGACGAGTCATCCGGGTCAAGCGATGGCCATCACCGAGGAGGAGCTCGAAAGAGAGTTAAGCTCGACGCGTCTAATGACTGCGTACAAGAATCATCCAACGACCACCGGCGGGATCTCCACGTGGATCCTTTTGAATCCACCGTCCACTACGTTGAAGACGACGGAGACAGAGAAGAAGACGAAACAACCGATGGAAACGGACGTAAAAGTGACTGATGCGAAGCCAACGACTCTGATGATGGAGAGAATAGACACCACCGAAAAAGTTACCATGCCTGTTTCTACGACGTTGATCGTGGACGAACCTTCTACCACGAAGAAACCCGTCCCGACGACCACGAAGAAAACAATTGAATCGAAACCAGAGAAGATTCAAAGCACAGAGAACGTAGAGTCTGTTCAGAGTACCACTTTAAAAGCTCCTCAGGTTACTGTGAACAACTCGGAGACTAAGGAGACAGTTGCAACCACTACGAAAAAGGTGCAGATCGTTAGAACGACGCCTAAACCTAAGACAGCTACCACGAAGGGCACCGTGTTATCGAAACATTCCGTTACCAAGCCTACCAGGCCTAATCAACACCAGAATAGGCCTAAGCTACCTATGAGAAGGACAACTACCGTTAAACCAGATACTGTTAAGAATGAGACTGTTTCTGCTGGCAAGATAGAGAAGGTTACATTCAGGCCTGTCCAGATGATTACCATTCCAAAGAGCAAAGTGGAAAACACCGAGAAGCCTATGTTCGTGACCAAGATCAAAGCTTCTATCCTAATGGACACTCAGAAGACCACTACGCAGTCTTCGGTATCGTCCACGACTAGTTTGGAAGCTACCACGAGTCCCAAACCGACAACAGTTGGCAGTAATTTGGCGGAGGTGTCTGCGAAGCCGAAACCAGTTGGAACGAAAGTGAACAACGTGCTGAAGGTGCAGTTGAAGAAGCCTCTGGACGAAGCAACGACGCGAATCGAAGTGGAGCCTGTTAAAGCAAACGCTCCTGCGTCGAAGGTCGAGAGGAACGAAGTGAAGGAAGTGGCTGAGAAGGAACCGGAGAGTCTGGACAACACGAGGATAGATTTAATGCAATTTGACTTTAACCCCGAGCTGACGAAAATTAACGTAAATACAGAAGTTTCGCCGACATCGACCAGCAGTACGCCATCGATCGCCACGTCCACCTCGACTACTAAAAGGCCTAGGAACAATTCCAAGAGAAAGAAGAACAAGAACAGAAGGCGAAAACCGACCACGTCTACGACAGTGGCCACCGTTTCCTCCGCGACGTCCAGTACGATGGAGAACGACTTGTCAGAGGAATTTGTTGCTGAGAATGGTATACAGGAGTCGAAGATAGTGCCGGAGACCAAGTTGGCTAGCAACTGGACAAAGACGAAGAAGAAACCAGCTCCGACGCCGATCAGCATGCAGATTTACAATTTTCTGAGCAGAGAGGTGATGCCTAGTTTCGGGATGATGTCTCTGGTAGGACTGGGACTCGGTCTGGCTTCATACTTCCTGTACCCGCTCGGAGGAACCGTGGCCAGGAGGAACTACGAGGTCGAGCCAAAGTACAAGTATAACTTCGACGAGTACGGTGGGAACTACGGCCAAAGCGAGGAGGAGGTTCTGTCGAAAGTTCTCCAGGGAATGACGACCGACGAGAGCAAGTATCCCGGTTCAAAGGATCAGGACTATTACAGATATCAGAGCTACGATGGAAACTACGAGACTCAGCCGATTAAGAAAAGCGACCAAAGATATTCCTCATCGTCTCCGATGTATCGACCGGAGAACACAGCGTCTGGGCACAAATACAGGAACACCGATTATCGTTACATGCAGAGCACCAGCACGCCGAGTTACTACGACAGGCCGAAGCATCGCGAGTACGTGGTTGGATCGGCTGTTCCTGGCACGGCCAATCGGCAGTTTGTTGTCGGAAGTGTTCCGAAAGTCTACCCACCGTACGACGACAATCCTTCTGCGTTGTCGACCACAGGGAAACTGGCCAACAGTTACGAACCTACGGAAGAAAATGGTCAGGTACAGTTTGATCACGATGTGAATCAGAGCTTCGATTTCCCTGTGGGATCTGTTCAGAGCTATGGCCAAGTTCAGACGGCTAGACCGGATGAAACCTACGAGGAAGTGGAGATTACACCTACCGCGGTTGCCGTGGAGCACGGGCCCAGGTCTATGAAGGTTAAACGTTCCCTCCAGGAGTCGACAGAGACGCTCTCGACGAGAGGAAGAAGAAGAAGGGACTCGGTGATTCAGATTATACCGTCGAAACGAGAATTGGAAGAAGAAGAGAAGGAGGAGGATCTGAGCAACGAAATTCTTAATATAATCGATTCGGCCATACCCGAGAAGGATTACGGCAAGGAGAAGAAGAACAAGGACAGGGAGACGGAAGATTTTGAGAGTCAGAGGAGAAAGGAGAAAGAGGACGAGAAGAATCGGTTGAAGGAGGCCGCTGTCAAGAGTCAAATACTGGAAACGAGCACGGCTACGTTCGTGGATACTTCCACAGCAACGAAAGAGACTATTGACTCCTCTTCTTCTTCTTCTTCTTCTTCTTCTTTTTCTTCGAGTTCCACGGAAAACGTGAATTCTGAAGATTCCACGACGAGTAGTAAAACGACGGAGAGCACAGTCGAATGGACCGACGCGACTACGAAGAAGCCAGCCGAGCAGAATGGTTTCAATCTCTTCAATTTCGTGAAGAGGATCGCCGAGATCAAGTTCAGGCTCGGTCTAACGCTCCTCAAACATGCGAGCGAGGGTTTCGCCAGATATCTCGGCCACGTGCAGAAGAGGATCAACGGAGAGGAATGAAGGAGGCTTTTTCGAAGTAGTTGAACACAGTGTGGAATCGAATGACGAACGCGATTTACGCCGTCACTAGGGGGCTAGCATGTACCTTACTTCTTCGAGCACGCCAGGACCTCGTCTTGAAAATCCTTCGTGTCTTGAGGCCTGATTTTTCGAGAACGTTTCGAGAGGATGGAGACGTTTTTGGAAACGTTTCTCAATCGAAATAGTCTTTCTACGGGGGTGACTTTTTTTTTTGTAGACTCTGAAGTATCATCGTCTTTTTGTCTTTCTTCTTTTCTTTTGCGTTTCGAGTGCTCTCTTCTTTTTTACTGGGGGGAAGAAATATTCGTTCCTGATCGATAAAAGTAACTTTTTGAAAGAGAGATTTTTCAAATTTTTCTGACAAGGAAATAGAGAAGAATGAGGATTTGAAAATTGTAATGTAAATCTGTATTTTTGTATAAAAGATTGGTATTTTTTGTTTTAACATTTTATGAGAATTATATTATAGAAGATTATGATATTAGAGTATAATATGGACCGATTATGTTCTAAGAAAATTCTTTTAATATTCTTAGAATATAATTATTTTTGAATAATGTATTAATTAATTCGATATAACGTAGACTATGACAATTCTATAGTTACAGACGGTAATTAAGAGTATCGAAAGAATCGTCTTAGAATTCTATATTATCAACAATGTATAATATCTTACATTATAATTTAATATCCCGAGAATTCTAAAAAGTACCTTTTTATTCGGAAACGAATATTTCTTTCTCTCTACAAGAACGACGAAATTATTTTAAGCTCGTAGAATCAACTAGACAACTCACCCTCTGTTAGCATAATTGACGATGAAAAGCTACTCTGTCCATATTTTTTAAATAGTTCTTATTACATAGAATAGTTACAATCCTTGCAAATTATCTTGAAAATGTTGGTTTTATCCATTTATTAATCTACATACAAATTTTTATCGTGCTGTTAAGACCAAAAAAAAAGAGAAAAGGAGGGGTTGTGTTTGGACGTGAATGAGAACGATAAGCTTTAAAAATCAAGGACTTTTCAGATGGAGTATAATTTCCATTGGAAATATCCATTTCAAGAACATTATTCTCAAACATTTTGAAACGTTCTTCAGGAAAGTGTGAGTGAAATTTCGAAGAACTTTCAGCGAAAAGTTCAATTATTTTTTATTCTCCAAGTGATTCTTTCGAATCTTCGATCGTATCTTTCGTTGATACTTATGCTTTTTATTAAGTATTGAAGCGAACGACGAAATGTAAAGTATGTTATAAATACGTATTATAATACATATAAATAAATAAATAATAAACATGATGCGTGTCTACATAATATCCTGACGTATGTGTGTGTGTGTGTGTGTGTGTGTATACGAACGAAACTTGTAATAAAAATCGAATATTTCTGCTTGCAGGAGCGTATTTCTTTTTTTTCTATGAGAAAATTATAGAACGATATGCTTAAAATTATGCAGATCAATCTTCCTTTTTAAAGTCTAACGTGTCAATTTAATTTCTCATGCTTTCTACCAGAAGTTCATTCTATTTCTCTTTGCCTTTTTCTAAAGTCTTTCTCTTTCTAAATTCCTTAATTTGTATCCGTTATTGTTTTCTCTATTCCCACGAATTATTTGAGACTTCATTTCCCTAGATTAGTTTCTCTATCGTAGTCTCGTTTCACGGACTCGGCGGTGGCTCGTGGGATTCAGATCACGAATACTCGTCGCTGAGTTATCCTGATCGAGGAGTCTCAATCCGGAAGTCAACAAGTCCCTCTTTCGACGGCCGAGAAACATTGGTATCATCATCGCCATTGTTGCCGGTAATATCCCTGTAAAGGAGCAAATTTACTTCGACGAAATTAATTTCCTTAAATGTTAGTTTTGAATCTTAGCTTTCAATTTTCTCGTTATTGGATATTTATCTCGTTATTTGCTGGACATTTAATCTATTGGACTTAGACTTTAAATGTGTTCAAACTTTAAATCCTTAATTGTGAATTTAAACATTTCTTTGTAAGTTTTTTAAAAAATTCTGGTCCATTTATTACTCTGAATAATCACGTTCATAGAGTTAACTAAACATAAACAGTTAAACAATTTTAAAATATACGATGTTCGATTCATAGTTTGCAAATAATCAATTCTTGTTAATTTTATAAGCATTAAATCTTCGGTTCAAAATTGTTTGCAGCGTGAGGCACATAATATAATTTTGATAGAACATTTATCTCCAATATCTTTTCATTTGTTATATTTAAACAATCAATTCAAATTGCACAGGTACTATTTTTACTGTATTGCTATAATTTCTACAAATCTAATTTCTATGAATAATTTCTTTAATTTCTACTCTTTCTAACTAATTTCTATTTTCTGCTTTGAAAAATATTTAAGTAACAACTAATAATAAATCACAAACTTACCAGCACCGACAGCGGCCAAGACAGCAGAGCTAGATGCTTGGTTTCCTAACGTGTTCCTGATGGGCCTTTTCTTCAGAATCGTTGGGAACGTTTGTTTCTCCATTTCGTATTCCTTTCGGCTCTGGTCCACGCTCTTGAAAGTTTTCTCCACTTCCAGAAGACCTCCGTGCGATGTTGTCGTGTTTGTGCCGTTGATCGACGGTAACACCGTCAACCTGACCTAGGTAAACGATATTTCATCAAGCGATTGCCAGTTTCTGATGTATTTGAAGAATTCGAATTTATTTTTGTTGATCTTTCTAACGTTAACGCGTTAAAAATGTTGTTAGAAACATTTAAAGAATAAAATGACTCTATCAAGCCAGAGTTAAAAATCTAAACTTTAGCAAAGATATATTAATTTCTGTCTCACCCTTTCAGATCAATAGATTAAGGATCTACACAGATCTTTAGTTTAAATAACTGACACAGAAATTATTATTTTCAAGAGATCAACAATCTATACAACAGTTAACAGCATCTATATAATATTTCTCCCAAAATAAATTTCTTTTTCCAAAAAAAAAAAAAAAAAAAAAAGAGAAATTACGTCTGTATCCAAAGAAATCTTTCTTCCTCTTTCTATATTCTCAAAAATATTTATAACATAAAAACTTCTTTGATCATCTAGCCTAACCTGTCTCTTCGACGTCATCACGGCGATTGCTGGATCAGGTTCCTCTTTCCTACCCACGCTCTTAGTCACGTTTTCCACTTGACTTGTCGAATCTATCTTCATCGACCTTTGCCTGGACTTGGAGTAGCCTCTGTTCGTGGACAGTAGTACCCATTGGCCATCGCCGTTTCCGGGATAACTCTGCGGATGATTGTTCACGTACTGATACTGGGAAAATCCTGGTCTCTCCGTAGAAGGTCGTAGGCGGTCGTCGAATCTCGTTGGGAAATTGTGCCAGTCGTTGTTCTCCTCTGCTTGATTTTTATCGCTGTATCTATCCAGATACTGATAACTCGGTTTTGTCGGTTGAGGTCTGTTCCAGGTATTTGGGAAATTTGCTGGACGATTGTCGGTAATTATATCGCTGTTGGGACGATCTGAGTATTTGTTCCAAGATGGTCTCTCCGGCGGCCATTTTTGAGCCTGAGTCTCTTCAGGTTTTTCTGTATAGTAAGCAGGACGAGCTGTGGGCTTCTGCCATGGTTTCTCGTTGGCGTTCTCTGGCCAGGTTGGTTTTGGTTTATCCATATACCTAGAACAGGGACATCAATTATTTTAAGATCTTTAAGATATTCATTTATAAAATATTTTTTCAAATATCCTTACTCTGTATTTAAATGTACTAAGATATTAAAATATTCATTATAACAATAAAATAATTTATGATAATAAATATAAATATTTTCTGTGCCAGTTCAATTTAAAACTTAGCTCTTCGTGGAACCTTTGGCTTTAGCTTAGCTCAATTAGAGCCGCAATGTGGAAAATAGAAAGTGAACCACTTAGGTATAAAATTGTACGCGAATTTACCATGGCTTATTGTTCTCGTAGATTGGCCTGACAGAGTAATCTGCGGCCCAAGGTTTTCCAATGCTCGGCTTGTCCCATGGTTTCATTTCCAGCCATGGACGTTGGGTATTTGGAGTCGCTTGCCACTTTGAAATTTTGCTCTTAGACCATGGTATTGCCTCCAAAGTAACCCAGCCGTTCCTATCTTCGTACGAATTTGCCCCGTAATACTTGTTTCTCTTCAGAGTGTCGTTTAACGTTGAACTTAACTGAAATGATCAGTTATGGAATAATTGATAAGAAAAAAAAAAAAAAAAACTAGCAACAATTGGGATTTTTTTCTTTTCTAGCCGAATAAAATTATAGTTGCAGATAGATGTAGTATCATAGTAGAAATGTAGGAGTCTTCGATGATCTTGTTGTTGATTAATAATTTAATTTTAATTAATTCTTAAGTCGTTGTTCAAATCAAAAATTGTTAAATCGATATACTTTGACGTAAACTATATCAATACCGAATTAAATTAAGTATAATGTATGTATATAAGTAATTTAATAATCAAATACATTGCCTACATTAAATTAAAATATTCTCAAGTTAAATTTTATAAAAATTACCATTTTAAAATCCTAAAAATTGCGAAAAACTCATTCTAAAAGAACCGATCATGCAGAATAAAATCTCACAAGTACAATATCTGGTGAAATATCTTACCCCATCTTCAGTGGACGTAGAATTAATCGTATCTTCTTCGTATTTGGTGTTCTGATCATAAATGGCGCTAGTCGACTGCGTGCTAGTTTGATCTTCCACTTCGAGAGCCAGAGCTTCCGTAGGCTTGACGATCCTGAACGGATATCTTTGATACTTCTCCGTACTGCTCTTAATCTTATTCGCGTATTCCTCCAGAAACTTGTTCAGCACGTCCGGATTGAACGTGGACGTTTCGAACCCGTTCCTCGAATCGTCCTCGCTTCTCGGGAAGTCCTTGATCATCCTTTGGTTATTGTTCTGAAAGGCAAACTTTGCTTCACGATGTAATGGGCTTGATGTAGCAGCGATCGGCTCGTCGAGTACCCTGAAGCTTTCTCCCTTCGTCTTGAACAGCTCGGACGTGTCTGTCTTTGCCTCTGCGAAGTATCTCGTGCTGCACTGCGAGCCTCTCAAGGTCAATGCCAGCAGGAGCAGGCAAATCGCTCCTTTCGCCGCCATCTGCAAAGAATAAGAGAAGCATTCGTTTTCACAACAAATCCTTTCAGTTTCACGACATCTTTTGGTTGAGACACACGATTCTTTTCCTTTTCTTTTTTTCATTGAAAGAAAAGTATTTTGAGAAAAGTAGGTAAACGAGTTGATTAAATAATTATTGTAGTGAATTGATAGAAAAGTGAATTTATAGTAGTTTATTATATTTCTCAATTTGTATTCTATTTATATTAATTTTTTACACCAAATTCATATTTTATTAATGTTTAATCATAGAAGCATAAACTTGTAAAACATAGTTTCGAAGCAATGTAAATTAACTTTCTGTTGTGTAAAGTATTAAAACGTATTAATATAACTATATTTTGTGGAAATGATTAGTTCCAAAATTTGGATTGTATTTTATCGGAAAAGAAAAAAATGTGGAATTTCGAGCAAAGAATATCTTATCGTATTTAAATTATTTGGAAGACAAGATTAATTGACATAAATTACATTAAAAAATTCATCCACAAGTGACTCTTATTTTTTCCAGCAAAGGAGTCTTAATCACCTCCCCCCTCCCAGCCGAAAAAAAATTTCTTACAGATAAATGAAACCAACAACAATTAACAGAAACCAAGCCAAAAAACGATGATCAAAATAGAAGCACATCGCGTCACTAACCGTCTTCGTAGGTTCTCGAAATCTTCCAGTCCTGGTGGCGACTTTTCGGTAGTGGCCAACGAACGACCGTAGGATCGAAGGGAAACCAGGGAAAACCCGTTAGGAAACCACCAAGTAACCAACCAAGCTGAACCGCGCGTCGACCTCCACTCTTCAAGGTCCGAGATGGTTCTGTCGCGGAGACGTTGTCCTCGTTTGCTTTTAATCCAGGTCCCCACTTCCTGGGGGCCTGGTCCATTTTGCGTCTCACTCGTGCAACCACGTGCTGCAACAAGCCTGTCTATCCCTCGTACGCTTGGTCACTCGGAGAACGGACGCGGCGCCCGCGTCTACTATTTTTCTCCTCACCTTCTATCTTTGTTCTACTGTCCGCTGATAATTGTCAGCTGAGACGTACGCGAGGATTCGGCCATCACTGACTGACACAGATCTCGATCTCGTGCAGTTTCGTCTTTTAGACGAGTCTGTAATCCAGCGAGGAGAGTTCGAGCGCTCAGTTTTTACAAACTTGAGGCGCCGTTTCTTAACGTTGATATTCTGAAATTTTTATTTTCACCTTTAGCCTTTTTAGTAATCACCTCGAAACGTTCAGTTTCACCTATCAATCAAGATTTAATTTCAATTTTCTTCAATCCAGCGGTCTTAAATTTTTTATTCTCACTCGAGATTAGCTCGTCAGGGACCAAATTCTATTATTTCTCAATGGTCGAGGGAATTGCTTTCGATAATTCGATTAATAAATTCACACATTCAAAATATTTGCAATATTAATGGTATTTATAACACAGAAAAATTAAGGAGCTCTCTAACTACTCTAATATACTCAGTCTTGGATTTGACTAAATTTTTAACAGAACCACATAAGTACTCAGCCTCTTCGAATCTCGTTCGACGGACTTACAAAGGTGCAGATGGAATCGCGAGGAAGCCAGGATTTGTCACGCACTAATTGTTGCCAGCGTGGACAATCAACGGCTACTTTGCACGGTGGTTTTTCTGGTTATGATTCGGAATGTCAGCCGCGTTCACGCTAGCCGCGTTCTCTACTTTTCCGACATCTCAATGGACAACTCCTGTCGATTCATAGATACCTTGCCAGTAAATACGTATTATTGATCGGAAATCTTTCAAACCGGTTCCTTGACATCGACACTTGTTATCGATCTTTTTCCCAGATGGTGCAGGTATTAATAATATCGAAGGAGGAATCGAGCAAAAAATTTAATTTACAAATATATACTCGCGATAATTCACATACCTCAGCGATAAGAAACAGTTGCCTAGTTGAATTACTTTTCCTCGTTCGTTTAAAATATTATCAACATGTCCTTTTAATACAAACTTTTTTTGTTCTCATACATAGATACACATATCCTTCAAAAATTTGGAACACCTAGCAATTTCGTATTACAAAATATAAACAGATACATAAACAGTCGGCATCTCCAATAACACAATCTTATAGTTTTAATTACTTAAAACTATAGTCACAACAGTTTATAAAATTATAAAACATCGCTGAAAGAAGGAGATATCCAAAATTAATTGGGTGCTCTAAACTTTTCGACAGTGTGTGATTTGAAACTTTCGTTTGTCTCTGACGATACATCGAAGGGGAAATTTCAAACGTTAGAAATTTCAATATAGGACTTACTATTGTTTCGTAGACGAATTTCGTCGTCTCGCCATGCTGAATTCATTCGTCGATTAGGGACACACGTAGAAAGAAACAGAAAAGCGTGACGATGTTCGTGCTTGATAAATCATCGATTTCTTCAACTGTTTTATAGACAGAGGGAGTCTCGATTTTCGTGACTTTTGCGCTTTCTCGACACAGAAACACTGCGGATTTTCCCCCTTTTTTTCTCTACTCTCACACCATGAAATCCTTCGCGAGTGAAACTTGCCTCGAATCACGTTTCCGTTTTACGAGCAGCTTCCGAATCACTCGGGCTCGGGTTTTCACATTTTTGCATCCTCGACCGACAAACATCTCGTTAAGTTTTTCCTTCAAGAGGAATTTCTTGGGTCGGATCGATAATTCGATGCAGGAATCGTTTCCGATATCTTTTGTCCAAATCTATCAGATCAACTTACGTTTCGCAATAAACAATATTCATTCTATTTTTCTTTCGATTTATACTCAGTTTGGCATTGGTGGCGAATACTAGAAGGTTTCATAGAATGAATGAAATATAAATGAGAGATACCTCCGAATAATAATAATTCCAACATTTTATATAAACTGACACGTTGAAAAACTGACGTTGCATTGTCCTAAAGATGATTTATCGAGTGTTAGACTTCCGAGAGATATGCAACGGGCTAGAATTTTTTCGCTTCCGATTCCGGTCTGACTCCGGTGTGGTTGGCTGGCCTACTCGAAACCGGAATTGGGTCGTTCTCCGGCGTAGATAACCGCGAAAACGAGCATCAGGACGCGCATCGAAAAAGGACAGAACAGACTGCGGCTGTCAAGCGCAGGGAACGTCTACTTTCGTTGTCGGCTGGTCTACACGGAAGGGGAATATGACTGTGTGCTCTCAGGCTCGTGACTAGCGTGCTCCGTGCGTTTTCAACGAGTCGGCATATTCCAAATGGATCGTGAGAAAAATTCTTCGTTCTGAGATTGGAAGAATTGAAATGAGAATATTGATACATAATTGAAAAATTGTATCAACATTAACACTCGTACATAATTGAAGAATTGTATCATCTACGACCGAGTACCGAATATTAAAAGCAAAAATAATTCGACAACAACTTTTGTGAGCGGGAGTGTACACACGTGCGAATTGATCTTTGAAATTTTGGTTAAATATTAGTGAAAAGCCGACGACGGTGATGACGAAAAGCTCGTACGTGGTATTGTACGAGTTTATCTTCCGTCTAGCATCTGCCTCGACCAGTTCTTCGTCACGACTTGACCTCTGTTTGAAACAAGGCCAGACTCTCGCCGCTCGTTGATAAAACTCGCCTTAGAAAGTCTTTTCACCCCTTTCCACTCTTTGCTCGAATTCCGTGAACAACCGCGTAATAAAACAGTTTTCCTTCCTATTTTACGCGTCAATCGTAGAAATCCAACCTGTTGAATCGTTTCATCCTTCGCGATCCAACTGCTTCGCCTTGGATCGATTTCCTGTTTATAGTTACGACACTTGTTTCTGAACTTTTTCACTCTATCGTGGAAATGACGAGTTGTTTTTCATGTTTCAGAAATTGTCGAATCGATTTAGAAGGATCTTTTTGAGGAGATTTGTATCTATGGATAGAAGAATTAGAGGATTTATCATATTCTTGAGAATTATATTATTTTGTAGTAGTATTATGTAACGCGAAGAATCGAAATCGAGATTCTAAGGACTTATAGATTTCAAAATTTCATTACCTTGAATTGTCAACAAATTAAACTATGTAATATATTTATATAATAATCAACTATAATATATCGAGTATGACACAATTTTAATTAACATAGATAGTAGTTAATTTAAAATGAAGTTTAAAATATACACGAAAGAATAATAAATCAAAATATTAATTATATTTTTGTCCTCAACTTTGTCTGATTAAATTTGTACCATTCGAAAACTTCTCTCGTTGGCCGTTAAAGTATTGAGATATTAAATCGTGGCAATTTCCACGACTTGGCAAGCAGAGAAACAGAGAAACCAGGGAAAAGTGTACATGAAAAATGCGTTAAGCGATTATTTCTTCCGCTAATGCACGTTTTACAAGCGGCCAGCGTGAAAACTGTCCCAGAATCCATCGCGAGAAATCCGATATAAAATAACTCGGTTACGAGGGGGCTGTACTACGAGCGTTTCGTGACTTCTCGCGGTGAACATGCGTTCACGACAGTAAAAACGTTTCATTATTCCGAAGTGTACTTTCCATGGAAACTGGTTGTCGATGCATGAATATCGTTCTGACATCTAGGCTATCCCCCTTCGCGGTCATCCTTTCTTCCTTATTTTTCCCGCGACTTTCGTTCCGACCTCGCCGAGATGTTAACGTACTGATAAGGAATACGAGCATTGACTAACTAGGATAGATCCGATATCCAATGCTTTATCGTGTCCTATGCTTCGGAGATCACCTGACTAACATTTCCGTGTCACGTTCTACCATGTCGATTTAGGCAAGTTTTGCACCGCGACGTTACTAATAGCATGTAAAGTTACCAATGTTATTACATCTTCACCGAAAATTATTTATTGAATTAGACGCGAACGCTTTCTTACTTGCATAACTATTCTTGAGAGACGACCAACATAATTTTTGACTGTAATATAATTATTTCCTACATAAGTTAGTACAGATTTATAAATTAGAATTTAGTATAAGTCAACAGGATTTTATGTTAAAAATTAACCGTGCAAATGTAGTTTGATTTTGTGAAATATATAGGAATTTACAGTATTTATTGTTGCCTAAGATTAATGGGGGCTATAAAACAATAAAAAAGTGAAATTGAAAAATTTTAAGTAAATAAAACATAAAAATTGTAAAACTATTGATTACTGCAATAGAAATAGTGTTTTTGGAAGTATTGACAATGACTATTGTGCATCGCTGACTTTACCTTTATCTGATGGTTGAGCAGCGAAAAAGGTCATTATAAGTTGAACCTTCATCGTGCGTACATTGATTAAACATTCGAAGTGAATTTTTAAATAATATTTCTGAATATTCCAATTGTTTAAACATTATCTAATATTTCTAATAATTTATTTGCAACAATTAAACAATAAATTCCCTTCTGTAATATTTCTAAATGTTATTTAAAATATTTAACTTATAATAATTTATAAGAATCTTGAACAATGTACTTAAGAGAAAGGACTTATTGAATGACATAATTAATTTAATTGTTAAATCGTAATATAAAAATTGTGAATTTTATAAAATAGTGTCCAGAAATATTGTAGAAATAAAATAATTTAATTGTTTCAAATAAGTTATTCAACCTGTAAAATAATGTTTTTCGATGATAATTTTGTATATTAACAATTTTAACTATTTATTTATAACAATTGAATCAATGATTGAATTCCCAAGAAATATTTCATAATTTGAACAGTTCATTTCCAATAATTAAATTATATTATTTACAATAACGGAAAAGACACTTACATAATATATATATTTTTGCAATTTGCAACAATAAACGAGTGGAAATTTTTATATGTTGCGCGATTACTCTGAAGCGACAATCACTGCTTAACTCGATTTTTGACTACATAACTTTGCTCTACATAAATTTCTGTTTAATACACATCAATGTAGTTATAACTTAGAAAGTAATATCATGAAAGTGTAAATTTATTTTTAGCCAGTTATAGATAAAAGATTTATAAATTATTACATTTATAATATTATAACATTGTAATATGTTCATGAAAGTGTAACCTTGCGAGAG